GTGTCGCAGGCTGTGTGTGAATCACATTTCTTTGTTGAAAATAGAAGACTGGAGAGGAGGTGGCCCGAGGGGGTCTGAGCTTGGCCCCCTTGGGCAGTGGTGGGAGAAAGCAGAGCAAAGGTGCAGTTCCTCCTGTCCTTTGGGAAGTTCCAAGTCCTCCCCCGGTGCTTCCTTGCTGTTTCCTAAGACCAGCAAGTGGTGTGTGTGATTGATCCGGCATCAGGGACACAAACAAGCCGCACCCCAACCTCTCCCCAAATTCCTTCTCTTTACTGCCTGGAAGCCAGAGACGAGCAGGTTGGATTTGACCGTGAGAGAGAGCTGGGAGTCGAGGTGGGGGAGAGCGAATGCAAAGTAGCCTCACCCGCGGGCGCTCAGCAGATCGGAATTGGTGGAGAGAAGAGTGAGGCTGAAGTTTTGGAACTTGTGGACGTGTGGAGGACAGCTTTCTGAGCCCTGGGCCCCTGGGGGGAAGGAGGGAGAGAAGAGGAACCTGGGATTGGGAGGAGCTGGGTTGCTCTTGCCAGTCCTAACCAGGACCGGATGGGGCACCGCCCTTGCCCACTCAGTAGCTGCCACGTACACGTGCCACGTACCTGGGCCACCTGGAGTCTTGAAAGGGAATGGGGAGAGCTGGATTTTGCAGCCTCCCGCCCTCCTCTGCGGATTCTCGGGTGATGGAGGCATGGGAAGAAGTTTCCAGGGCTGACTCGGGCACAGGCAGTGCAGAACAGAAGGCTTTGGGGGGCCCTCGACGTTCTATTCAGCTGGACTCACACGCTCACTGCCACTTCTAAATGTCTATGGCCATGACTTTGAAAAGGCTCCCATCGGAGATTACATACTTGGCTACTCTCCAAGGAGGGCAGCGGGCTCCTGTCACCTCCGTGTTGTTCTTTCTTAGCTTTTTAACACTGGATTGGTAGGTGAAAAGGTAGCCAGCATGGACTGAAGGATGTGTGAAGTGGGGAGACAGGCAGGATGTTCTAGGTGTGTGTCACTGACCTCATTCTGCATTATGTTTTTATTGAATGAGTTGATTATTTTTATATCATTTCCTGGTAAGTGAGTTACCTTCACTACTTTCAATTTTTCCATGTCCCAACTTCTAGTTCCTTACCACGTTTTATATGCACTTGGAAATTCCCTTCTTAAGCTCTTTTCATTCTTTTAACCCGGTAGGAACAATGTTCCCTGTTAATTTTTTTTTTTTTTTAAAATTTTATTTATTTATTTGAGAGAGAAAGAACGAGCACACAAGCAGGGGGCGGGGGGGAGCAGCAGAGGGAGAGGGAGACACAGACTTCAAGCTGAGCAGGGAGCCCGACCCAGGGCTCGATCCCAGGACCCTGAGCCGAAGGCAGATGCTTAACTGACTGAGCCACCCAGGCGCCCTGTTAATTTTTGAGCAGGAGTGTTGCTGTTGGTATCATGAACACCCTGGTCTCAGCTGTAATTTGTATGAGGAATAAGTTAATATTTATTGTCAAAGCTTTACAGGACCTGTTTTCTTTGAGTAGTACTTTAATCTTTAATGTACTGATGGAATCTTCCTGGAGTGATTGAATATGCATCACTAGATCCATCCTTTCACTAACTGAAAACTGGTTTCTTGTTTAACCGGTTAGTTGTCCCCTGAAGTCATATTCACCATCTACTGCAATCACTGGCATTGTTTTTTTTGTGTTTCGATTTTGATGAACACATTAAAACAAATCACTTTGAAAAATATACGTTCTCTTCCGTATTTTGAAACAGTGATACTTGCATTATCTTGAGGTTAGCTTGAGCACTGGAGAGACATTCTAAGTTTAAATTCAAACTCACGGGCATCATGACTTTCCTTGTTTCTAAAACTCGCTCAGGTATGTCCAATTTCTGCTGGTATGACATAATAA